ACCAGCAGGCTGCCATGACGGGCCCTTTACACTCCCATGGCACAGGCTTATAGCCCAGGGCTGGTTGGTACTTTACCTGGTAGCTGAGCAGGTGTGGAGGGAACAGACAGAAGTCTTTCTCTCTCTCCTCTGGCAGGAGGAGGACGTGTTTTCTTCACAAAAGGGGCCCTTTCCACCCAGCAGATCCTGGTCAGCTGCCTTCCCCCCTGCCTTCCTTCCCCATCTCTCCCCAGCCACAGCTGCTGGTCTCACAAGCCCTATCCCAGCTCTCTTCACCTCCTCCTGTCTCCTGGCATCCCCCTGCATGGCTCCTGTCAAGTACATCCCACTCAGGCCATTTCCATCTCCTCCCCATTTCTCGCCAAGCTGCACAGAAGCACAGGTGTCCTGCAGCCCTGCGGGGGTAGCGCTGGCCGCCGTGCTCCAGGCAGGGCTGTGAGGCAGCAGCCTCCTGCTCAGGAGGAAGGCAGGCCAGACCTTTGGTCAAAGGCCCTTGCAAACAGCTGCCTTCCTGCTTTTTCTGATCCAAGAAACCTCTGCCTTGCAGACTACCTGCTGCTCTAGCTCTGGGCCCCTCACATAGCTCTGACAGTGCTCCCACTCCTGCCCTGTAGACCCTTTTTGTTTTCCAGCCAAGAAATATACCCCTTTTCCATCCAGAGGCTCCCAGTCCTTGTTGGAAGAGCTGGAAGGATCCAACCATTTCATTTTAGGTTGAAAACTAAATTTCGTTGTATCTCAGGTCATTTATTTGGGCCTTATAATTGCCCACAGCTGGAAATGGCTTTATCCAGAGGTTCTAGTTTGGAGCCACAGAGCAACTGTCACTGCAAAAGTCTGAAATAACTGATTTTCTGAGGTGGATGAAAAGCACCCTTGAACTGTAATTGGTCATCTGCAGAGGACTACTTCTACATCTGCTTGGGGAGGAGAGAGGAAGAGATTTTTTTTTTTTTTAATTTCTTCTTTTGTAAAATGGTGAACAGATTTGGGCACTCTGGAAATATGTATCGATGGCTCAGTGTAAAGGGAGTTGAGAAGGCACAGGCTGTGGGTGTTCCTTCTCCATAAGCTCATTAACCCATACATTCCCTTGCATCCCACCAAGTCAGTATGCTAAACAGCAGCAAAATTAGTTTCATGCATTGCTGCAAGGGAAAGTTGGATCAGGTGCAAGAAACAAATTCTTACCTGAGAGTGGTGTGGCACTGTAACACATGGCCAGAGGGACTGTGGGATCTCCATCCTTGAGACTGTCCAAACTCAACAGGAAAAGGACCTAAGTAACTCCATGTGGCCTTGAAGATAGTCCTGCTGCTAGCAGTAGGTAGGACTAAAGACCTCCAGATGTGCAATCCCACCTAAAGTTCTCTATGATTCATCAAAGGTACCAAATGGCAGCACAGTTTCATATTGCACTCTCATAGTACAGAAACTGTAGATAAGAAAGCACCACTGCATTGCTTTGGCACAATGCTTCCCAAACCTCAGGATTCCTCGGCCAAAGTCCACTCAGACCAGACCTTCATGGCTGCTTTGAGATATATGGCTGAATATCAGTTGGCTGCATGATCAAAAGATCCTTCAACAGTAGTCTGATACTGCTGTTGTGTCTGGTACTGGTTCTTTGGCTGGCCCTTGCTGGATAGCACACAAAGGCCTTTGGCAGCTGAGCTCAAAATCCTACTTGGTTTGCAAAACCAAGAGATTCAAACATGTCCTTATCTGCTAGGGCAGATCTTAGCTCATTCCTGTCTCTTTTCCTTTCCAGCTCCTTCACACCTGAGTTGCCCTTCCTGGAGAGAAGCCGTCTCATTCTGAATCAGTCAATGTGGGACAACGTGGGCAGTGTGGAGGACCAGGGTGTGTAGAGGTATGGCAGAGATCAAGCCCTGAGGTGACAGAATGGTAGAAATGTCTCTGCAGTGTGGGAGACCCTTACAATGTGAGACTTCAGGGTCTCACATCACATCTTTTACCACAACAGCCTTCCCACCACTCATTCTCCCCAGCAGGTGTCGATTACCATCAGGTGAATGTAAATCACAGTGACACTGAGAGTGGCAGGTGACTTGCTGTAAGCAAGAGATGATGCAGGAGTACTGGACCTCATAATCAGCTAAGGCCTTTGCAGGAAACCAGGAGGTTGTCTAAAAGCATGTCAAGAGAAATGATTTATAATTAAGCTGCTAAGAGAGAGCAAGGTGTTGTGTGAGCACAAAAACAGCAGGTGAAAAACCTTGCTCTGGTATGTGGACTGTCTGCATATAAAATAAGAATGTGTTTGTATTTACTTGTAACCAGGTAGAGATACAAAGCCTAAAGTCACAGGATATCCAGGTGATCCTACAAGCCAGATGACAGTACTTGCACCGGTCTTGCCTTCTCCCGACTAATGCCATCCATGCACAAAATGAATGTCATCTTCAGCACCAGCTCACAGAGGATACACATTTTTATCACATTCTCTGAAAACAGAATGCACTAGTGTTTCTCTCCCACTCTTGCTTCTCTCTCTCTCGCCCCCCAGCAATGGCCGGCATTTTATTTCCATCTCTTGCTTATAATGCCATCAGTGGACATAGTGCTTGCCAGCAGTAGAAAGGAAACCAACCTCCCTTTTTACCTAGGCTGCTAACTAAGCAGGTGGGACAAAACCAGCAGGGCACCACCACCTCCCCCACAACAAGATTCCCACTGGGAAATTTCTAAAAGAGACTTGCAGAGTAGGATTGAGGGAGTGGGGAGAGCTGGCTGTGCTTTCCTCAGCAGAAAGAAGCAATATGCAGGAGGATGAGGTGTATTCCCAGGCTGTCCTTCCAATATGGCTCTTCTGATGTTTATTCCAGCTGATGACAGCATCACAAAGACTAGGCATCACAGGGTTTCTCGAGGAAAACCAGAAGCTAGCTCAGGTTTGAACCACAACAGAATTTTTTTTGCTGCAGTCAGACCATGTCTTCGCGTACGTATCCTCAGAAGTGAATGTCACTGTGGCTCCTTCCCTATCCTCAGACCTGAGTTCCTTTTCAAAGGAAAAGTAAATGGCGATGGTGAGCATCCAGGTCTAGTTCTGACAGGTAGCTGGGATGTGGCCGGGATGCCCACCTGAAAACAAGGACTACAGATGCCTTCATGTTTTACCACTTATCCCTCAGCAGCAGCTACACAAAGCAGGGACAGGGACCAATTCTTCTGTCTACCTTCATTTGCTGTATTGTAAAACTAATGTAAGAGAATGGGTTTGTACTTGTGTATGCATGTATATGTGTGTGTTTGCAAGGAGATGGGAACTTCCCTTCAACACTTCTGCAGGCAAACCCAGTATCATCTCCCAGGATCCCTCTTTTGTCAGGACATCTCAAGAAAAACTTCGCATTCCAAATTTGGAGCATGGAGACTGTTTCTAGCAAGTTACATTTTCTTGCAGACCCATCTTCTGGTGCGAGTTTTGCTCTCTCCCATACCACCTCCCAGTAGTGAGAACTGCAGCTGCCTCTAAAACCTCCTGTAAAACATTGGTCACTCTCTGTGTGTCTTATCTGCCCCATTTGCTTCCTCAAAACCCTGCTGCTGTGGTTTCCAGAAACAAGTTGGGGGAAATCAAAAAGAGAAGTCCATTGCAATGTTTTTGTTTGCTGTCTTGTTGGACAGGACAACAAAGTTTTCACCATTATGAAAAGATCCCGGTAACTCTAGGAAACAGGAGACCAAGACCTTGCAGCAGCCAAGCTTTTTGGTCCAGAAAACAGAAACCTGGCAAATACATTGCTTCAGGTGGAAATGACACAAAATTGTGCTCAGAATTCAATGAATAATAATAAAAAAAAATCACCCAGAACTGATTTTTCAGGGTGTATTTTTAGTCCCAAACTGGAAACTCATAGCTCTTCAGGGAGTATGGATATCACTGATGAAAGGGGAGGAATATACAGACAGAGGTTTGGGGAATTTGAGGGGAGCAGAGCACTTGCTCAAGACTTCTGTGTGGCTGATTTGCAGTGATGCCTCTGATAGAGGTCTTCTACCTTTTTCTCACATTAGAAATCCCTCCTGGGGAGACTCTGGCTTTTATCCTTCATGTGATATTTGGTTGCTTTCTCTCCCCTTCATTGTCATGCTTAATCCTGCCACATGTCTCAGCAGGATCTCCAAAATCCATCTCCTTTCTGCTACATCCTGGGCAAACAGTTGTTGGCATTGATTACTACACAGCCTGCTCTGTTGCTTCCCTCACACATGATTCTCCAAAAGGGTTCACAGCCTTTCTCACATCTTCGGAGATGCTCTGCAGATGAACACTAGGTTGTTCCTGTTCCTGGCCAGTCCAGCACACTCACAGTAATATTCTCACCTGCAGGTGCCAAACACACTGAAAAGTTAAATCCACCATGCAGAGAGGTTGGGTTGGCGAGGGGCTGGGACTTGTCACTCAGAAGAGAGCCTCATGCAAAGAGCAGAATTAACATTTATGGATATGTTTTAACTTATGAACACAGAATATAGTTGAAGGAAGAAGGAAACATTAAAGATATAAGCCATGAATAATTGTGCCCTTCAGGGGTGGGCCAAGCACACTCTACTGAATGCTCTTTCAAATTCTGCTCCAGTGATTCATAGGACCAGTATCCTTTCATGAAACAGAGAGCGGGCCTTTTCTGCATCATTGAGATATTGACTGGACCTGGAGTCAAGGAAAGTACTGGAGGATCAGGGCACCCATCTGTGAAGGAGGAGGCTGAAAAAGGGCACAGTAGGTCCTTGACATCAGCCTGAGCGATTTCATCCAGGACTGATCTTCAGCTTGGAAAGAGATGTAGGGGCACACGCTAGGAACTGATGTCCTTCAGAGCTGGGATTCTGTGGCAGGCTTGCTCATCCTACATTGCAAGATAAAGCACGTGTGTGGGTTCAGACCAGCTTTTCATCAGCTCTTTCATGAGCTGCCCTTTCTCAAGGATACTCCTTCAGGTCCTTCATCCAAAGTGGACTTTTCTTCCTCAGACAAATTTGACTTCCAGTTCACAAATTCGATAGCAACTTGTGAAGCAAAGGATGTTATTCCAGTTGCTGTAAGTGTTAGTGTCTGTGTTTCCCTTGATGTGAATTGCAGCACATTTTTCTGCAAAGAGTAAATTGGGTTCCCCAGGTTTCCAGAACCTGTAAAAGAAAGTTCCTCTACTGGGAATGCACTGGCATGCATGACAATGGGAGTGAAGACACCTCAAACAGTTGTGGAAGAGAAAGGAGAAGATTACTGTAACAGAGATCAGGAGCTCTGGCAAGGGAAAGACTAGTCATGGTTTTGACTAGAAAGCTAGTCAAGTTTTCTGACTTTTAGTGCAGTTAGGGACAGAGACCCCTCTCTGACACATATGTGCCTTCACAGTGTATTGGTCACTTGGACTGAGGGATGTGAATTACAGGACCTTCCTCACTCCTCCGGGATACTCACGTGGCTGCCTTCTTATATGGAGTCAGATCCACCCATTGCCATTGCCCATTTTCGTAAGCAGTTAAGCCTATGTAGTATTTTGTTTCATAGGCGTTAGTAACTACTCCTTTCGCCCAGTTGAAGAGGAATTCCTGGGAAAAGCACAATGTTTGTGAGGTGCAGGAGTGAGCAGAGGAGTCCCTGTGGGGTGGGGCTGGTGGCAGAGGGGAGCAGCCGGTGCTGAAGGGACGCAGAAAGGACATCCCCCCTCCCCTGCAGGAGCAAGGAGGGGCTCTGAGACCCCTCCAGGGCCTGGCATCGTGTCCCCGGCTGCTGCGCCCCTCTCAGCCCTGCACGTACCTGCTCTGCTTTGGTGTTGATCACCACCAGGTGGGAGCCCATCCCAGTGCAGTTCCGCTCACTCTCAGCCCAGCTCATCTTATCAGCTGACAGATAATAGCAGCTGTTTTGAAAGTGTTTCCAGCCCTTCAGGCAGCACATCCAGCTCTCCTCTAGGGGGGGAAAAAAAATTCTGCTTTTGAACAAGATGTGCTGTCCTTCATCTTAGTGAGCTCAATGTAGGGTCCCAGTGTTAGGGGAGCAGTTTGAACGACACTTTTAATCCAGAAGGGGTAAATGCTCTCTTCCATGCTCGACAAGTAAAGCTGTCAACAGCCTGACAGACTCCTGTCACAAGGCCCCTGCCTGAAGTGCCTTTCCCTTTCTCTGTCTGTTCTGTCATGTCCATGCAACCCCTGTTTGGTGAGAGACACAGTTTCTGCCTTACCCTTCCTGAGGAAGCGAGATGGGAAGTAGTTGGCTTACGCTCCCCTGGGAAAACTTCCATCAGAGAAATGTTGTCCAAGTGTTTAGCTGTCAACTCATGCAGACTGACAGACATGTACAGTAAACTGCTCTGCCACTGCAGGTAGTTCCCTACAGTAGCCACGTTTTCCTAGAGATCTGCCTTATAGCCAGAAAATCACAAGATGGATTAAAAAAACACAGATATATTATCTCAATGCATGAGGCTACATGCTTTGAGGCTATATATCTGTATCTATGAGCTGTGTATATTATACCCTGCATATATCTCTGTATAGAATATATCAGGCTGAAAAGTTCATCCAATAAAGTCAACAAACAAATATACCCTTGCATAGAATCATAGAATCATAGAATCGTCAAGGTTGGAAAAGACCCTTAAGACCATCGAGTCCAACCGTCAACCTATCACTGCCAAGTCCATCACTTATACCATGTCCTCGAGCACCACATCTATCCATTCTTTAAATACCTCCAGGGATGGAGACTCAACCACTTCCCTGGGCAGCCTGTTCCAGTGCTTGACCACCCTCTCGGTGAAGAAGTTTTTCCTAATGTCTAACCTAAACCTCCCCTGGCACAGCTTGAGGCCGTTTCCTCTCGTCCTATCACTCGTTACTAGGGGGAAGAGACTGACCTCCACCTGGCTACAACCTCCTTTCAGGGAGTTGTAGAGAGCAATAAGGTCTCCCCTCAGCCTCCTCTTCTCCAGGCTAAACAACCCCAGTTCCCTCAGCTGCTCCTCATATGACCTGTTCTCTAGACCCTTCACCAAATTCATTGCCCTCCTCTGGACACGCTCCAGCACCTTGATGTCCTTCTTGTAGTGAGGGGCCAAAAACCAAACACAGTACTCAAGGTATGGCCTCACCAATGCCGAGTACAGGGGCACAGCTCTCCAGCCACTCTTCCCCCAGCCTGTAGCATTGCATGGGGTTGTTGTGACCCAAGGGCAGGACCCGGCACTGAGCCTTGTTGAACCTCATACAGTTGGCCCTGGCCCAATAATCCAGCCTGTCCAGGTCCCTCTGCAGGGCCTTCCTACCCTCCAGCAGATCGACACTTCCACCCAACCTGGTGTCATCTGCAAACTTACTGAGGGTGCACTCGATCCCCTCATCCAGATCATCAATGAAGATGTTGAACAGGACCGGCCCCAACACTGAGCCCTGGGCAACACCACTCGTGACCGGCCGCCAACTGGATTTGACTCCATTTACCACCACTCCCTGGGCTCAGCCGTCCGGACAGTTTTTAGCCCAGCGCAGCGTGCACCCATCCAAGTCGTGAGCAGCCAGCTTCTCCAGGAGAATGCTGTGGGAGCATGTGCTGCATTAGATGCTTGCTCTGAATCTCAGACCTCACAGGGACTCTCTTCTTGAGTTTCTCAGTCAGGCACTCTTCAGGAGGTCGCATGCAGTGACAATGCCCTGGTCAAGCCAATGCTCCAGCCCACCCAAAGCAAGCAAGCACATCATATTCATACTACAAGGTGGACCCAAATAACCCTGTGCCCTTCAAGAGCTGTCTTCCCAGCACAGAATCTCACACCCCATTCTTGGTGTGAAATGGAGGGAGTAGAGTCCAGTGAGTGGAACAGCTAGGAAAACTTTTGTTAACCTACCTGTGCTCTTATATATTAGATCCACTCAAGGTGCATCATTATGTACTTTTGTAGAGAGACCATGGCACTAGAGAGCATCAGAAAATATGCAAAATCAAGTTTAAGAAGTTTAAGGAACTTGGAGCTCTCTGTCTCTGTGCTGCCCACCCTGATCTTACACTGAACTGCTGGAGGATGGCCTGTAGCCATCATGTACTCTGCAAAATTTTTCCATCCATTCCTAACTCCACAATGAAAGCTAAAGTTTTCCCACATGACTAAGCAATGCTGGACAATTTCTTCTGAATTCTTAAGTGTGTTGGTTGGAAGAGTCTTTCTGCTGTTCAATGTACATGCTTTTGCGTTGTGGAGCTAGGCAGGGTTTTTTTTTACATGGAACAGCAAATCAAGCATATGTAGAACACAGCTTGTCTGGCCTTCCATAGATGTCCACCAAAAGAACAGGTGGACTATGCCTATTTTATACCTGCAAGCACCTTTTTATCATGGACTGTAAAGGGAGTCTGAACAGCTAGCTATGTACTTAACATGTAGGTGTTAGCCTCTGTGCAAACTGCAACCTGTTTCTGAATGCAGTGCACAAGTAAGAACAGATCTCTGAACTGAGTTTGGGAATTTGCACTTGCCATTTCCATCACTTCATGTGTGACTGCAGCCCACCTTTCCAGCTACTCTAAACTGCGTAACAACATTCTCCTACCACTCCTACCTCTGTCCATTGCACTGACCATGATGCTTGCATGAACAAGCAGTGAGCCAGCACAGGGAGTGGAGCTGGATCAAACCAGCCCTTACAAAAGGATGAAGCACTTTCAGCTAGATTAGTGAACTGGACTAGCAGTTGAGGGTTTGTGTGAGGGTCAGTGAGAGGGGAAGAGTAGGAAGGGTGGTCAAAGGTAGGTCTGGAACAACCCACCCTCTTCCACTGGCCCAAACTGTGCTTTCATAGTATCCTAAGTAAAATTGTGCAATACAGCATTTGCTTTCCTCAATTCTCCAGCTTCCTTCCTTAAAACAATCCAGCTCTGGCTGACAAGCACATTCCCAACCTCAAAGGCTGACTGACACCAAAGTAAATTTTGATGAGGGTCTTAGTGTTGCTTATGAGGCTCTTAGCATCACTCACTTTTGCCTGCAAATACGCTGGGGACGCAGCGCCACTCTGTAGCGTTCTGGAGCAGAGTCTTGTACTGGGCATACTTCCATCAAGCAAAACAACTGGGAGGAGAGGAAAGAGAAAGAAAGTGCTACTGTCATCCTTTCCTCCTCATTCATGAGCAACTTGTCCTATCCTCTGCCTTCTGGCTTAGAGCCCTCACAGAGACTGTTACGTTAACAAGCTCTGAAATCTGTACTGGACAAGGAGATGAGAAACAGCAGGCCATTTCTCCCACTACTGGTCACTCCCTCCTTTGAACAGGAATTAATCGGATGAGCTCCTCTCACCTCTGCTGGCTGAGAGACTCATTTTCCCAGCTGACAAAACCAGCTTAGACATCCTTTGAGGATGGGGTCAGGAAAGGGTCAAAGAAGTCATGGGATAGGCTTAATAAAGGTGGAATATTAATATACATTCCCTCTTAATCTTCCCAGGCATTGCAGCTTTAGACCACCACTTTTAGCCGTATCAAGAAGTGGTAGAACTGTTGAGTGTTGAGGCCTCACCCAAGGGAGTTAAGAAGAAGCACAGACAAATCATCACAGAGCAATAACATACTCCAGGACAGTACAAGCAAAGGATTTCCCTTTTGATTGGTCCAGTCAGTGTGGGTGGGATGCAGCTGGAGCATTTTAATGGATTCACTCCCAACCTGCTAAAATATGGGCAGCCTGGTACCAGTATTTCTAAGGAGATCACATTGGCTCTTTGGCTGCAACATCGTCACAGGGAGCTCTGAGAGAGAAACCAGGTCAGGAGAGCCAACATCCAACAGCCAGCCTTCGGGGAATCTACTCAGATGCCCTCTGACACTAAAGATACTTCTCAGCTCTTGGTGGGAGGGGAGAAATGGACTGGTTTCATCCAGGACTGGCTTTATACAGGCAGGTGGGAAAGTGAGAGGAGCAGTGGGAAGGCCCTGACAGGGAACGAGCTTTAACTGTGGAAGGGACCCTACTCCCTGACTAAGAGGGCAGAGGCAGGAGAGGGGCAGCAGAACAGGCTATTTTAGCAAAGAGCATTTGCCTCCTGGCAGAGAGACTAGGATATTATTTTTCCATCTGACAAAAGGTAGTCAACTGTTCCCTTCACCCCAGGGGAATTAAGAGATGCTGGAACCCACCAAGGCAGATGGTTACAAAGGCAGTTTTGATGGCAAGGACAGAAACAAGGAAGACCCAGGGGTTCAGCCAGGAGCAACTTCTCTCTTCTGCCGGGGCTGAAAAATACAAGGCAAGAGTGGGAATCCCCCAGCCCAGAGTTGGGGGCAGGATAACCCAGGTGGCTCCGTACCCCAACAACCCGCTGGTACCCTTGTTCCAAGGACTGGGGAGCCCCACAGGTGCTGTAACCAGGTCTTGCTGTATCCAGGTCCTGCTGTATCCAGGTCCTGCTGCCTGTCATTAGCAGTGGGTCAGACCCACACAGTAGGGCAACATGGGGGCTACCCTGAAGCTGCTCTTTTATTTCACTTTCTATCACAAGCCCTGCCTGTACTCTCCCCAAACTGCACTCCTCCTTTCTTTGTCCTGTCACACCTCCTTTCTCCTCAACACATCTTCCTTGTTGCCCTCCATTACCCCGTCTTTCACTGAATGCTCTTTCCAAACCTCCCTCCTCTTCATCTCTCTTTAGAGCTTCTTTCTCTCAACTACCTTTATTTTGGCTCTATCCTGCAAGCCCTTCTATGCAATAGTGTACAGTCACTCAAAGGAGTGACTGTCCAGCTCAGTGTTTGCAGAGGCAGATACACAGAAAAGATTGTTTCCAGAGGGAGAATGGGCATTTTGAAGATGTTGGAGAGCCCTTGCTTGGTTCTCCTTAGAGACACCAGAGATGGGACCAGTGACTTGTGTTTATCTTGATGCAGATAGTTTTACCTGGATAACGATAGTAGGGTAGCACTCTTCAGTCCCATCGTTTAAAGAAAAAACACTGAAGGGGATAGCAGACCATAGTCTGCCTGGACTTTCATTCTCCCTGGCTCTGGGAAAAAGGTCATTCTCCCAGCCCAGGCACTCCTCAGTTCCCTCATCTGTTGTTTTGCTATTGACCTAAGCTCCTTCTCCTGGTATGAGGCCAGCCACTGTACCATGCCCATTATCTGTCCCGGCCCTGTATATTCCCCCGCCACCTCCTTCTTCTACAGGAGGACAGAAAGGAAAGTTTTGTGTTACCTGCAGTTCCAGGACTGACTCTCCCTCGGTGGTTCATTATCTCTACCATGGTATCACTCTTCTCCACCAAGAGTCCATGTTACCAATATGGCCATGAATACAGCCTTCATCCTGCACAGAAGACTGCACTAGGGCAGCTCCCACACCGGTGAGGAGCCTTCACCGTCTCTAATCCAGTGTGCAGAAAAAGCCGTATCCTGGGTGTTGCCCACAGCACATGGAGACAGGGGAGTTTTCATAATTTCTCTGCCAGGACATTTCACAAGATGCACGTTGCAACACAGACACTCACAGAGGCAAATTAAAACAAATGAAGAATACTATCATTCCAGCTCAAACAATCTCCTTTTGCATGTATCCAAGCAGTTTCACAGGACATACTACTGGCCTTACCTCTTTGGTGGTTTTTCTTCCCCGGTGAGTGAGTATGTATGTGAGTGAAAATGCCTACGCTGTTGGTATTTGCTAGCAAAGGGCTAAACCCACTCACAATGTCCTGCAAAAGGGTGTCAAAACATGTCAGGAAAGCATATCTGTGACTCAGTCTGGGCAAGTCCCCATGTGAAGCCTGAGCTCAGTAACCCACAGCACAACAAAGAACTTGCCAACACTGTTTTTAACTAATTGCTCATGAAAAGAGGATGGAGCTTTGAGTGGAGGAATTGCATATGACCTGTCATTATGGAGCTGGAGGTCAGAAGGGATCACTAGACGGTGCCAGAATCCCTGTGCATTACAGATCATGAAGTTTTACTTGGTCACGACTATAAAAGGCACAGCCATATGTCGTGGTTCTAGCACTGCTCAAGGCAACTTGATTCAAAACCCTGCAGGATAAAGTGTCCCTAAGGATACACCTAAGGATAAAGAATCGCTACTGGATCTCATTGTACTCTGAACGGACAGGGGTGGGTACGCAGCCTTTGCTCTTCCATGTTGCATCAGCTAGTTTCTCCCTGTGAAGAGGCATGCATGGATGCACTGAGGAAGGAATAGAATAGCTAACACAATAGCACAAGCATATCAGTTGAAGTCTCAAAAGAGCAGGGCACAAAACCAGTTACAAATGAGGACAAGCCTAATTGTATGTAGAAAATATCCTCTGAGTATGTTTCTTCATGCACAACAGGCTGCAGGCAGGCTCAAACCACCCAACAGCTCTGTTGCATTGGAAAGATGGTCCATACATGTGTTTGCTGGTATTGTCATGGAAGGTAATGAGCTATTAGAAAGCTCTAGCTACTGGGTTCACAGCGCAGTGAGAGACTCTCAAGTGACATTTTAAAAAGTTCCCAGCTGTCATGCTGGAGAACAGAACTGAATTGCACCACAGATGCCCAAAAATGAGAATTCATTGTATTTGTTATTGCTCTAAAATACTTGCTTTTGCGCATATGGGCAGGGAGCTGACTTCGGCTGATCAGTATGGAGAATGCAGAGGGTGCAAAACTGTCAGAAGGAAAATGTGCTCAGTTCATGTGGTTTAAATCTAATCAGGATGGATCTAAGCAGTTTAACGATTTATTCATGACAGGTAATTAACTGACAAGCCATGACCTGTAAATTCAGGATCAGTATCAGCAATCCAACAGCTAAAGCACAATACCAGCCACAAAATTTTAATAAACACTTACAAATTTCTAAACATCTTTATGTAACTGATTCCCGAAAGCTCTAACCCCCACATACACACACACTCACATGTTTACTTGTGCAACCTCCCACCCTTGCCACAGGAAGTGCAGACTGCAAGAACACATCCCCTTTTCTGGGAGCAGGGGTTCCCCTATTCTCACACAGTTCCTGCTGGAGATGTAGGGTTTGTGTGTATCCACGCCACTTCCTACAGTCTGCTAACCCACAGGTCAGTGAGAAAGCACAAGGTCACATATGCACACTGAAATTGTGGGTCTGTACATGTTGCACGCCTTACTGCCAGGAATGCAGGCTACCCATGATATCCAACAGGGAGGATGCTCTGTTACAGACAGATTGCAAAGTTGCAGGGCAACTGTCAGACCAGATTTTGACAGCCACTTCCCTCCCAATTCTCTCTCTTCTCTCTATTAAAAATGTTCTTGCTTATTCTAAACTTTTTTTTTCAGACTGATTCTTCTCTGTCTCAAAAGCCTTTTGCTAGTTCCCTGGTTACTGTTAAGCCAGTTGATGGTCACATTCTTCTTTAACAATAGTGGGTTTGGGGCAAATGCCCTCTCAGATAGTTTCAGGTATTCAGTTCACACAGCTGTTTACGTTTATGTTCCTGTTTTATCATTTGTTGCTGTCCAGGCCATTTGACCAAGATGAAGGCCTGTGCAAGCACCCTCACATGAAAGCACTTTGGTGTGTGCACAAGGTCTAAAGCAGAGACACAGCAAATGACTTTCTTTTCGGCATCACAAACCAAGCTACTCTTTCCAGCAAATCAACAGCAGACCTCACAACATTCAGGTGACTAAAACAGCTCTGTCCCACTCTGGGATAGAGAGTCTCAAAGTGGTGATGGTAGACAAAATCTGCATTGGCCTGCACAGAAACTCCTTGCTAGTCCTGGTGCCAGGCAGCTGGGACCAGTGATGGGAGAGGTTACCTCCTCAGTGGAAGGCTCTGGAACCATTGCAAATACCTTATATTTCCAAAATGGCAGGAACTTATTTCTCTTTCCTGCTCTATGCTGTTCCAGCAGCATGCTTGGGGAGAGCATGTATCAAGGACCTCAGTCTTCCTGCATGTCTTGCCATGGTTCTGTAAGTAAAGATTCTCAGCTGTTTTCTACTTGCTCCAGTTATGAAGAGCTTCACGAGTGACCCTTGGTTATTTCACTTCACAAATATGTGTCAGATCAGTGTGCTGGGACAACAGGGTGGCACCTGGCAATGCAGAATTGCCAGGGACTCCTGCCCCTGAACCACTGAAGACAGTGGTGCTTGGTTATAACAAGCGCACTCCTAGAACAGGCACTGGAGAATCTTTCACAGACCCTTGCAGTACAGACAAGAGTCAACAAGCACGGCATGGATACAGACAAGATCGATGGGACATGAACTAAGGAAAATGTTGCAGTTACAAGCTGTCTTGCAGGACTCAAGGTTGCAGGAGAAGACAGAATTCAACTTCCCTCAGAGGTACTCAGGATATGAGAAGCTGAAAGCCAGAAGCTGGAAGACAAAACTTCATCAGCTTTTCTGCAAGATTATACCACACAAGCAATTAGTTGCGGCTCCTATTTAAGAGATGGAAACACAGCAAACCACATGTTGGGAGCACTGAAGGTGCCTGGTTTTAGAAGCAACCAGCCACCTGAAGCAGGATGGAGAATGTATGAGAGAGTTCCAAGTACCAACAAAGAACAGCAAGTGTGCTCACATTCAGAAATGAACTTGTTGGATCTACTTAACCCATTCTCAGGAGTTGATGGCAGTTTCTCCATCAACTTGAACCCTCTGGGGAGTCCTGCTTTCCATTTTTCTTGAATTCAGAATGATTTGAAGAGAAAGACTTATCTGCAACAGTCAAATAAAGGCAAGCAGTCTCAAAGGGAATACTGACAAAGTGAAAGGCAGAAAACACAGAGGAAGTGCTACCAGCTGTGACAATACAGGAAGAGAGACTTAATCCCACGGGAAGTTCTTCCCAATGTACCTGTTTGCTTTGCACTTTCAAGAGCTAAAGACCAGCTCCACAGTCCTGAGCCCCAGCAGCATGTATGAGAGCGCAGCTAACAGAGGCAGCCAGCAGGCTTAGCAGTTTGTGCAGCTTTGTTTTCAGCAGCAAAGTACAAGCAATCCAGGAGGTTTCTGGAGTGCCTTGATGATAACTTCCTGACACAGGTTATGGAGGACCTGATGAGGAGACATGCTCTGCTGGCTCTCACACTTACAAATGAGGAAGAATTGGTTTGAGAAGTAAAGGCTGAGAGCAGGCTTGGCTGTGGTGACTATGAGATGTTGGAGTTCAGGATCTTGTGAGGAGGGAGCAGGGCAAAACCCAGGATCACAACCAGAGACTTCAGAGGAGCAGACACTGGCCAATTTGAGGACCAGCTTGGAAGACTCCCAGGTACCTGATTTTCTTCTGTATCGATCACTACCATGTGGGACCCCAACCCTGTGCTGGTGTCCTTGCTTTTATTCCAGGACACCTGTTCAGCCAACATGTAGTATTTGTATTTCATATTTGAAAGTATTTCATATTTGAAAACATCTCCAGCCCATCATGTAGCACATCCTGCAGCACATCCTGCTTTGCACTGAGTAGGCCACAGAGCGAATGCTAACAAGAGGACAGAGAAGGAATATTGCCTGTTGTCTGGAGAGTCACCAAAGTCATGAGGACAATGCTGGATTGTTCTTTGCAGGTTGTCACCCAGGCAGCTGACCATGCCACTAACCATGTGTCTGAATAATCTACAGGAAAAGGACAATCTCATTGCAAAACCAGTGTCTTTGACAGCCTGCAGTATTTGAGGGAAGTTTCCTATGTCTTGAAAAGGCGAATGGAGCATCTTTTGGAGCATCTTTCATATGAGCAGATACTGAGAAAGTTAGAGCTGTTCAGCCTGGAGAAAAGAAGGTTGGTGCTCACAGACTGCCTCACGCTATCACTTCCACTCATATATTCCCACCCCGCAGAGTGAAGATGTGTTCACACTCGTTCCAAAGAATCCTCTGTATTCTTGTCAGGTCACTGCTGGTCTCTCAGTTTTACACAGGATGAGGCTTCCTCCTTCAGACAGTTGGTGCTGCAGCTTCAGAAATTTGAAGACGATGGCTCTCATTCATGTGGAAGATTGTGCCGGCTCTGGTGTACTTCTGCCTTCCAGTTGATTACAACACACGTTTATGTTTACATCAATGCTTTCTGTCTGTGTTGACCTGTGTGGCTGCTTGCATGTACATGTTCTTTGTAGACTGAATGACTAAGCCTTGCTGCTGGAGGGGTCCATGTTGCATATGTGTAAACCTATATTTTTTCTGCTAGCAGGCTTTCATCCTGTTAGCAGCCAGAGAGGGGAACAGAATCAGGTTGTTCGTATGGTTTGCGTCTGCATCAGGGCTTTCTGTCTGTGCTGACCTGTGTGGCTGCTTGCATGTACATGTTCTTTTTCTTCCATATGTATCTATATGTGTACATATTGTACATACACGCTCAGTCTCACTGCCGACTGGAGCTGGGGCCACGGAGCTGGAGCAGCTGCAGCTTCTGCCGGGCTACAGGGTTTAGGAGGC